TTTGAGGAGATGTGATGGAGTTGAGCATTGCACGCCCGAATGCACATGCGAACTCCATTATACCCCGACACAGCCGGACACTGGTTGTGTCGAGAGTTGCGCAAATCAATGCACCCCTGTATGTAATATCGGTGGGTGTCTTTCTGGATGTTTATTCCCTGATGAGTGTTCTGTCTGCGACACATCTATTGGATACAAAGAAGACTGTACCGGGTGCTTAGCGGGATACTCCCCACGAGGATATTTAACATGTGAGAAAGACCCTGAGAAGATCTTTACGCCTGCTGAGTATGTCGCACTCAAAGAAACATCTTTTGAAGCCAAAAATCAAACACTCAATTTTAACGAAAAAGACTATTTGCCAATTTATACGAAGTGTTCGTCGTACGTCGACATCTCCAGCAAATCGTTTTTGGGCGTTTGGGCAATGTTAAAAACGAATGAAAGCACCAAATACATTTCACTTGTGACCAACACCATTTATGACCAAACACAACTCGAGTTCTTGACAAAACAACAGACGTGGGTCGGAGAAGATACTGCACTCATATTACAAGATTCTAATGGCAGGTGTTTGCATTCAAACGACGATGTTGTCGATTTCGTGTCAACCAGTAGTCTCACTTTTATGATGGAAAAGGACAAAGAGTATTATGTACTGATACACGGATACTATGGAGAGGGGTTGAAAGACACAAAACTGTTTGTGAGAGAGGAGGACCATCCGTGCAAATCACACTCGAAAACGATTGAGTGGAACGATTTGATAAAAAGTGGTGGGATCAATTACACCACAAAATTTGCAAATTCGGTGCTGTCAAGCGACGCATGTGTGACGGAGGACAACAAAGGAAACTGGTTTTTGATTCACGGAGCGCAACACACAATTTTGGTGAGTGGATCTCCCATGAAGTTACAAGTTGTATCAGTGACCGCAGATGTCACTTCGTGTGAAGACGATTCAGCGGTTTGTGAGCTTATCGTGTCCACAGATAAAAATGGAAACGCCGCTCTTTTGTCATTAGAACAATCAAAAGACTATTACTTCTTCTTCTCATATCACCCATCGTTCAAAACAATCAATTTCAACATCAAAGTTGTATGCAGCGGATGTACAGATCATTGTAGTTTAATAACTGGTGGGTGTATCTGTCAGTCGGGGAAGTGTGATACGTGCGGCAATGGGAAGATTGATATTGGAGAAGAATGTGACAACTCGTTTAAAAATTCGGTGGGGTGTAATCCGTCGACGTGTACGTGTGATGTTGGATTCACACACACAGCTGACAACGATTGTGTGCCAAATAGTTGTGGAGATGGCGTGATGACTGATCAAAAGGAATGGTTTGTCGTATTATAAACTTCATTTAACAAGTAATCAATAACATAATAGTGATGGAGGTGTTGGTTGTACTTCGTGTTTGTGTGACGCCGGATATGTTCCGTATGAAAACCCTCGGGCCTATTGTTTATCGTTAAATTGTGGGAATGGCAAAATTGATGGTAATGAAGAGTGTGACTCGGGAGAAGGGTGTTATGAATGTGAGTGTCAAGAGGGTTATTACGTTCGTGGGAAAGACACGTCATGTAAATTTATGAGTAAAGTTGGATACATCTGGTTGTTGGTCTGTTGTTTGGTACTCTCCGATGTGTTAGTCTTTTTCTTTATATTAGGAATATCATATGTATCAGAGAGGAAACTGAACTCGATCATTTCAGACGAGAGAGAAGCTGTTGATCGACTTCTCCCATTCTTCGAGACGAATATTATCCCATTTAACTCCGATGGTGCAGAACGATTGGAACCAATCAAAAGCAATGAATTGTTTGAAATCAGCAACGCTAGCATTGTCTTGGAAGACAACGACAATTACATCGAAGTGAACAAAACAATTCAAACATCTTTCACAATAACAAACAAAGCATTCAAGACGTTACACTTCACCTGTCACTCAATTGACAATTTTAAGTATTCCGTGCGATTCCAACCAGTCACTCAATCATTAAAACCATCACAAACAATCAGAATCAATTTAATTGTGACCGCAAAATGCACAACAAAAGTCGACGATGAGATATTCATTACTCTACGGTACGGCAAACTGCGGACTTTGTTAATGGACTTAAACAATCAAGACTCAACCGATTCCAAAAATTCATCCGTCGCGGATATATCAGGAAAGTCGCAGTCGTCCTCACGACCACGCCGCCCTACACAAACCTCAATCCGCATGTCGAGGTCGAGTGAAACGAAAAAGAAAAGAAACAAATCGAAGTTAACAAAATATTACACTGCGCTCAAACTCAAGTTTGAGTCTTCCCTTTCAACTCGCTTAGACTTGGACGAGATTACTTTAGTCCGCCCACAAATAGGTGAAGGGACTTACGGGACTGTATATCGCGCCGAGTGGCGGAAAGTTGACGTTGCTGTTAAAGTGATGAAAACGGACACGGTTTTGAATTATAACGATTTTCTTCCCCATTTTATTCACGAAGCGCAATTGATGGAAACGATCCGAAGTCAGTTCATTATTAACTTCATTGGGAGTGCGATCACTGAAGACAAGTTGTGTCTTGTCACCGAATTTTGTGTCTACGGATCGTTACGGAATTTCATGAAGAACATGGAGAACGAAATGACACTCAACTTCAAGTTTCGGGCGATGTACGACATAGCTCATGGCATGTATTATTTGCACCAGAACGATATCGTCCATCGTGATTTAAAGCCTGACAACGTTCTTGTCTTTTCATTGAACATCGACGACGCCGTGTGTTTCAAAGTCTCTGATTTTGGGACGGCTGGTGTTATAACGATGTCCACTAATAAGGAAGGGGTGAAGGATTTGGGTACTCCAATGTATATGGCTCCAGAAGGTTTGTTTACTCGTCTTACGTCTTTTGTAGTTCAAAATGTCAATAAGAAAATAACAGAACAGTTCATTCATCCAATCAAATCACATTCAAGTCCGACGTCTTTTCCTTTGCGGTGTGTTGTTTAGAAATATACTTGAGGAAAGTGCCATACCCCAAAGAACAATTTCCAGACACAGAAAGTATTTTGAAGTTTGTGTGCGCAGAAAAGCGACTTGAGATCTCGGACGAATGTCCCGTGAAGAAGTTGATCACAATGTGTTGGAGTCAAAATCCACAGAACCGACCGGACTTCCGAGATATCACTATGGAACTGAAGTTGATAACGGGAATGGAATTGTCAAATACCTCGTCGGACTCCCTTTCTGTTAACTCGAAGAAAACAAAACGACAAACAAATGACGGCCTCCAAGACTTAATGAAAGCAGGTGAAAAGTCACCGAAAAATAAACGATACTCTAACATCCCTTCACTCTCTAATAGCAAAGTGATCAGCGACAGAGATAAATTGAAACGGTCTGTGATCCCTTCGCGATCACCAACAAGCGGCGTCTTCACGCAAATCAGAGCAAGTCGGGAAAAGAGTTTTTCTCCAAAGAACGACAACTCCGAACATTATCGCGGGTCTTTAAGAAATTCAGTGGACAACTCTCCAAAGTCTAAAAATTCAGACTCGTCGAAAGGCGTTGAGAAGATGTTTGGAAACAAATCTCCCAACAAGTTGGATAAACCAGAAAAGTCGTCACCAAAGATGTTCCTGAGAAAGTCGTTGTCCCCAATAATGGGACTCAAAAATCACGAAACAGAGTCGAAGCGAAAAATGTCGCAAGAAATACAACCACTTGAGCCCAATGTTAAAGAAGAAGGTCAACAAAAAATTTTGATTCACTCAGTCACATCGGATTCACTCAAAAAGTAATATGTTGTGTGTTCTTGTTACTTTTTGATTTTATTTTAATGGAAATATCAAATTAACAATTGATAGTTAAAATATAATTTATATATAATTTATAATAATATAAGAAATAACTCACTTTTTCAACTCAAATGATAAATGTCTTAATTAAAAATTTATTATAATTTTATTATACATTAAATAATTATTTATTATATTAATTTATTAAATTTTATTATGAATAAAAAAATATTTTTATTAAATGGTGGTAATAAAAAAACTAAAAAATATAGTTTGACGTTTTTATTATTGTGATAACAAAATAATTTTTTTAGATTCGATTTTTTCTCAAAAATGTTGCAAATGATTTTTGGTTTTATGAATGTAATTCATTATTATTTTATTTATTAAAATAAATAGTTAACATGAACAATAACAAACCTGCTACATATTTGGGCTAGTTTTGATGTTAAAACAAATAACTAATCTTTAATAATACTAAATACTAAATAATAACCATTTTAATCTTTTTTTTATACCCAATTTTTAAACAACAACTGTATTACATATAATAGTATAACTATTATTAACTACTAATACATAGCGGACACCGAACTCACCATACAAAAATGAGCCCAAGAAAAAACAAACAGAAAAACGTCCAAAAGGAGAAAAAAACAACAAGAAGAAAACTAAAAAGTGGAATGAGCCGTAAAGAAGGACAGAACGAAGATAGCAATGCTGGGTTGAAAATGTTGATGGAAGCCGAAGAAGAGGCCAAAAAGGTGATAGAGATGGCCAAAGCTGAAAAAGTACAAAAACTCGCTCAATCGCGTGAGGAAGCCAAAGCGCGCGTCGCAAAGATGCGCGCAGAGAAAGACGACGAATTTAAGAAATATTTGGAGACACATAACACTGACCTCGACGCACAAACCCAATCCCTTCAAGTCGAAACGGCTCAGAAGATACAACTCATCGCTTCCGATTTCGAAAAGAACAAAGAGGAGGCCGCCAATATGCTTACTGCAATAGTCCTCAACGTCCAATAATTGATCGATTTTTACTATTCTTTACTCATTATTTTAATATTAAATTTACTATTTATTTTATTATTATTATATTATTTATTTTATTATTAAATTTACTATTAAATTTAATAGTAAATTTATTAATTATTTTACTATTTATTTTACCAATTACTTTACTATTAAATTTATTATTAAATTTACTATCAAATTTACTATCAAATTTATTATTTTTATTTCGAGTACTCTAATAAGAAAAGAACTATTTATAATAGAATTCATTTTAATAATAAAAATAATTAAAAAGAAACCATCGACTTGAAGGGGACTCTCTTCCTTGCGCGGGTCAAAGAAGTCATTGGGTTCTTGAATATAGAGTCGTGGGCTTGGGAACGAGTCAATCCAAAACTCATACCGATTGCTATAAGATCTTCTGGACCTTTCATCTCTGATGGGATAGTAGCGCCTGTTGAAAGGATCAAATTTCGTCCTTTCGAATAGAAGACTAAATCAGTTGCTTGTGCAATGAATTGACGGCGATTACTTTCATCCAGTGGAGGTTGTGAGAGCAATGGGTAGACATTGATCTCAAAAAACACCCCAAGGCGGCGGGCATTTCGGATATTACGAACAGTTACTCGAAATTTATTCAAATGGAAATCAAAGGTTATCACTTCACAGGTACATTTCGATAAAACAAAGTTAAGAGCGTCTTCCGTTATTGGTTTAAAACATAATATATCATAATAAGAAGGTATAGTTTTCTTGAGGTGATTGTGTGATTTTATCGGATTAGAATTAATATAATATATTATATTATATAATATTAAAATAATATTTAAGATATTATAATATATTATCTCAATTCAAATAATTAGTGAATATTATAAAAATACTATTAAAATTGTTATTTATAAATTTTCAAAAATAATGAGATGAGTGATGCCAGAACGATGAGGATGGAATAATTAGAATTATAATACAATAAATATTAAAGTTGATAAATAAATAATAATAATAAAAAGAAGTACTAATATATTATTATAATATCGTTTTGTAGATAATACAATATCAATAAAACTGTATTATATTATAATAATAAATACGATTCAAATAAATTAGAAAAAAGACGATAAAATGAGTGTTTGAGAACAAACTGGTGGATCGCTGGCTGAGTCAACGGTGATAGTAAGCCGTTTAATACATTTTTGTTTTGGGAACAACGAAAATTCGGAGGTGTCGACTTTGTTGGATTCGAAGAGTTTAAGAGGTTTTTCTTCATCGCTAGATGTGGTGTATGGACTCTTTACACAATACTCGAAGGCAACATATCGATATTGAGAAAGGATAGAATTCTGTGCCATATCATCGTAAGTAGACTCACTAAACTTAACACAATCCATGTTATTATTATTGTTATTTTTTTTAAGTTATCTGAAAACTAAAGGAAACCCTTGTCCTTTTTTATTAATTTGAAAAACTCAAAACAGTGGAAATCACTTGAACTTTGTGTTCATTCATTAACACAGTAAATTTATCATCATCGCTTGGACTTAAATGAGTCGTCTTTCTGGTGATTAGATCTGATAAAATCTCAATCTCTCGCATTGCGATTTAATCTCACTTCTGATGGAAATCAAAATAAACAAAAACTAAAAATTAATAATTTTTTT